TTCTCTTGATTGTAATGTTTGAAAAAAAAGAACTGTATCATAGAAAGTAAAACATAAGAGCCTAAATATTACAATAAACTTTAAAAAATCTTTAAAAGCATAATTAAGCTGAAATTTTGTTGGTAATTTTTTTTTTTTTTTACCAGAATCTCGTCCAGTGAAAAAGATTAAAGGCATCTTTTAAGTATAAATGTGAGTTGTTCTTATCTGAGAGTAATAAGCCTGGTTCATGGAAACCATTTGTAAGAAGGTTTCGCTTATCAGAGACTTCCAAAGCAAACGATCAAACAAAGAAGAATGTTGCTGTTAAGAAGCCCAAACTCCGAAATGCAGCTTCCACTATCAGCACGTGATGGATACACGCCTGGCTTCTTTGTCTAGGGGCTCTGTGCACTTGCATTCTGGTGCGAATCACCAGAAAGTGGCCCCCAAGCGTGGCTGGTCCAGGGCCACCAAACAGCTACATTAAACTGAGTCAGCAAAATCTTAGAAGGATTAATTATCAATTGCAATACTACCCAATTACATTAATTGACCAATGTTTCCATCTAATGTTGCTGATATTCATTCTCTGTCCTTAAGATTTTACTGGACAAACTTTATGCATTAAATGTGATTGAGAAGAATACTGAAAAGAGCTATACATCAGGAATGAATACTGCTCCTTAATTCTTTGAATTCTAATTTAAAATACAGATTTAGACACTGGGAGATTTGTGTTTGTTTGTCTTTAATCCATTTTCAATTCCCAGGGTACACTTAGTAAAGTGTATCCGTACCTAAATATTGGTATCTTTAATGACTCTTTCCAGCACCCCCCCACAGATATTTTGCATTTCTAATTTGCTTGGTACACAGGCAACCAACGTGCATAATTGAACTGCAAATGGAAGCGTGCTTGCTACTTTAGTGAAATTAGAATTCAGTGAAGGTTATAAAAATATTAAACTTAATATCATATTACAGGAAGCGTAAGTATTTTTGATGGGCCCATAATTTTACCACTTCACCTGCTGTATCCGCTGGCAAACATGGTTTGGAATATTAATGGAAAACTCCCTCATTATTAAACCGCAGTATTAAAAAAAAAAATCCACAACCACTAACAGCTTACCACAAAGACATTTTCAGAAATTATCTACCTTAAAAATATTTTCCCACCATACAGTTCAAAAAATAGATTTAATTTTGCAAAGCTAGAACAAATGGGGAGATCCTCCACTGCCTCAAACAATTCATTAATTCAAAAAGTTCTGTTTTCCTTGCATTTCAAATCTCAGAAGGAAAAAAAAAATCCAATCTCCTCTTCCCCAATCTCCATTTAAGTGTGCCTATTTTGCTGAGGTCCAGATTTGAATAATTCAAAACCATCTCTAGTACATAGTATGTATCAAGGGGCAAGGGGCCAAAACCATGGCATTTTGGGTCAATTAATGCAAACAGAAAGCTCCCTGTACCCCCTTCGCCTACCACGTTGCTTCATCCAATAGGCACAAACGCCAGAAAGGGCTACAATAAGAATGAAATAAGATGAACACCTATGTAAAGGACAAAGAAAAGCGCTCAAATTATAGGTCAAAGGGACCAGATCCCAAAGCAATTTGGCAAAGTCCACACATTATAATCCACTGACACAAGAAGTTTGGGTGATGCCTGTGTCCAACTGATACTTCACCACCTGAGCTTAGTAAAGAACCCCCAGTAAGTGATTTGTCATGTTCTGAAGAAGAAAGGTCAGAGACTGAACTTTTGAAGCATAATGTAAGGTCCCTCGAGTATCAAGTTAATCTGAAAGATGAGAAGAGCTTCACAGGGTATGTCTGAAAGATATCTGGCTCTCCCTGTCACAACCCGGACCTCTGTGCGTTCAAAACCTCATTCAAAACCTCGGCCCCCCTGGCCAGGCCAGGGGCCAGCTCCACAGGTGAGTATCATCATCACCATCACCCTCCCTCTCCTCCCCCTTCTCTCTTTCCTTCCCTGCCTCCCCCCGCTCTTTAAAAGAATGATTTATAACCTTCCCTAATAGCTAGCGCATCCCAAGGGTTTTCAGAAATAAGAGACGCACACGAGGCATGTCCTCTTCAGGTATGCTGTGACACTATGGGTGGCAGGCAGGCCAACGCTGGTAGTATTTTAAGTTGATTTGATTGGCCACCTTTTTATAGATTATATTTGAAAATCTACTAGCAGCTTTTCACTATAAAACAAAAGCACATTATAGAAAGAAGAAAAACTCTTATTTCTTCTCAAAATTAAGAAAGGCTCATAAATTAAAATGTGGGATTAATTTATTTCCAAAAAGGCAATTCAAATATTATACATCCACCTTCAAATATTAAACAATCCATCTACCCAGTTTTTGTCAAAGCTAGTGGAAGAATGATGCAATCCCACTCTTGTACCATGCTTTCAGTTACATAGTATTTGTAAATATTCTGTGAGGCAGATAACTATTCTCCTCATTTTACAAACGAGAAAATTAGAATCTAGATAGGTTAATAGATCAGCCAACTGGTTAAACAGCAGAGCTGGGCTTCCTGCTGAGGTTTCCTAACCTCAAATCCACTGATCTTTGAACAGAGTGGGTAAAACCAAGCTTGGCCATGTGTGCCCCTGGGGAGAAGGGAAGGCAGGCCTTTGGATAATATGCACTGCCTGTCCCGTTATCCTCCACCTCCTGGGGATATCCTCTCTCCCAGAAGAACCTGGGAGCGCTACTGACGCACCAAGATGTCACCGTGTAGCTGCATGTTAAGAGGATCAGTGGAAAAGGGCAGCGCTTTCTATTCCAAGGTAAGTATGTCCAATAAATGATGCAGTCGCCCTCAGCACATACTCCCGCAGCACAGGGGCTAGCCTTCTTTGCTGAGGTGGGAGGCTGTCCTGGAAATGCAATGACATCTGGCTTCACCCAGGTTCCCCTCAAGCACTGATTAAATATCAAATAAAAACAAAGAAGCCCTTTCTCATATGCAAATATAATGTTGTTTCACCTAGGAGGAAAGCCTGCAGACACCTGGACATTTTGTTATTCAACTGCTTTTCTGTCAAATACACTAAATTTTGAGAACAACGGAACTTAACATTTTATATTCACTTGTGAATGGGGCCATCCCCTCAGACTGTGAGGCAGGGTAGCACCCTAGAAAGGACACTGTGATCAGGAGCCAAGACTCAGCTCCAAATACCAGATCTGCCACTAAACCACTCATAGGACCCGAAATGATCACACCCATACTCTGTAACTTCCTCTCTTATCTGCAAAAGGAAGGCCGCAACCACAAAATCTTGGTCTTCCTTAAGTAATCACAAATCAAAACAAATCAGCGTTATCACTTAAAAAAAATTCCTATGACGGTGGAGGATAGGTCTTTCTAAAAGAGAGACAGAGACACACATAAACACACACGCTTATACTTAACATCAGAAAGCACACCTACATTGTACAACTACCTACTGAAATTATTTTATTCAGAAAATCATGCTGCTTCCCCTGTATTTACTGTGAAAATTGGTAATTTTCATCTACTGACAATCTTGCTCAAATCTGATGTGGACAAGGAAATCGAGGGGAAGGGCAAGTGGGTAAAGAGGCGAATGAAAGATCTCAGCTCCCCTTGTTATCAAGGGAAAAACTTAAAGCATATGGATACAGAAGATACATAAATACCAACAACCCAGGTCCTTTCCTTTCTCCAGTATGCTGCAGAAAGAGCATGGGCCTCACAGCCAGACAAAATGATCCACATCTTGGCTCTGTCACTTGCTAGCTTCGTGACCCTATGACCACCAGTCTCCTGCGTAAAACGGAGGTAACAATGCATGCCTCCCAGGGCAGACAGCAGAATGACATGAGATAGCACATGTGCAGCTCCAGCACACAGGAGCCCCTCGATCAATGCTGGCTTCTGCTCTCCTGACTTCTTCTAGATGACACCCTGATTCGAGAGTCCAGATCAGGCCTTGCAGCCTCAGAGAGAAGCACGGGGAAAGAGCTGGCGCGGGTGCACCGTAATGAGAGAGAGCAACGGATGCAGGGAGTAAGAGTCTGCAGAAATGATCAGATAATGAAACACCTTATATCTTTCCAAAAAGGTGAATCATTTTCTTTTAGGTGTCAAATGAATAGCCGAATGTATCACAATCAAAATCTATCGTGAAAAAAAAAGCCAGACACGTACTCATTTCAAATGAGTAGTGGCTCCTACCGCTGCAGAAGCCTCTGTGACACTGGGCCGCCGGATATTTAAAGGGTAAGTACACACTCCCCCACAGCTCCCCGTCAGCTCCAGAAGTTCTAATGAGCTAAAAGTTTATTCCATTTCTAAAATACATTTAAACTCCAACCCATCACTTACATCTCCTTAATTCTGAAATCCAATTCTCAATTTGGGCACTTTACCAGCATCTTTTCAAAAGTTGGACTTTGGAAAATATAGACACTCTCCGACAGAAGGGGGGAAAAGCCATCAGACATGCACCAAACTGACACCCTTGAATATATTCCAATTTCCTCAGCCCTCATCTCCCTTAGCGTTTCATAATCAGTAAAGTGCAATGACCATCATTGGAAATGACATGAGCTTAATGTCAGAAATCATTTAGTTTAAATAAGAAAATAACTCCATTTAGCTTTCTCCCACAAAGTAAAATTAAGTTTGTTTAGCCCTTTTTTATTTATTGCCAAAGGGCAGATTTAATTTCAAGGGAGTGAAAACCAAACTCATTCTGAAGTGAAGTCTAAAGTTACCACTTTAATTTTGCTCTAACTATTGAGGCGCAAAGGCTGAAAGCAGTAAAACAAAGAGGCATTAATTATGGGGGAAAAAGATGTGAGTGGGACCCGCTAAGATTTTTTAACCAGGGGCTGGAGGATGGGGGTTGGAGAGAAGTCCATCATCTTATTTTGCTATGCTGCAAATCCAAACTGTAAGAAAACCCACTGGCTCTAGAGGCCTTTTAAGCCCACCCTCTTGGGCTCCAGCCTCAGGACTTACCAGATACATTAATTGAGGCCCCTGCATCGATGATCCCACTGTTGGGCCTCACGCAGTACCTTCGCGGTGCTGTGGTCTTCACTTTGAAACACACATTTCGGTCTGTCGGGTTGCCAAGCTTTAGGTTGGTGGTGACAACATCAGTGAAGGGACCTGTGGAATAAGACAGAGACTGACTGGGGATCTAGCCAGGAAGGTTTAGAAGACTGACTTATTAATGGTAGGGAGGGAGGTAAATGTAGTTAAAGGAAGATTTGAAAGCCAAAATTATCTCATTAACATGCCAACGGATGGGAGAGATGAGCTGAGGTTAATGCATTAGCAGTAACAGCTAATATTTACCATGTTCTCACTATTTCACCAGGTACTCAGTAAGTGTTCTAACACATGGCATCTCATTGAAACCTCACAATTTTATGATTACTGCTGTTTTACAGATGAGAAAATTGAGGATTGCGGAGACAAGCTACTTCTCCAAGTTTTCACGCTAGTTAGTGGTGGTTAGGATCTATAACCAGATGGCCTGAATCCAAGGCCAGTTCTTACCTATGTTAAATACTGATTTCCACAGTAACAAGATGAAATCTAACAGAAAGAACATAAAGGACTAAACTTGGTCCAAAATGATTACCAAGGGCAGAGCGTGCCAAGAGTAGCAGATGCAAGAAAGACTTCGAGGTGTTAATGGTCTGTAAAACACAGAAACCCCCAATAATAGAGTGCTGCTGCCAGAAAAGTTAATACCATCTTAGGCTACAGCAAGAAGTTCAGCGTCCTGCTGGGCAGTCCACACCTGAAACATCACATTCATTTTTAACTGCACAGGCTACTGGGAAGACTGAAACAAGGCTCAGTGCCCTGAAGATATTTTTTATTACTATTATTTATTCATTTCCTACTTTATTAGATTTTTTAATTAAAAAAGTAAAACATGCTTCTTAAAACGAACCAAACAATAAAAGATGTATAAAGAGGAAGTTAATAAGCTTTCCCTTGTCCCCTGGGGTAACTAATATTAACGATACGGAAGATCTTTCCACATCATCTAGGCTTACACGAACAGCACATACATACAGGTGTGGGGGATGGGGGGGCTAACAAAAATGAGATAATACTATTCACATTACTCTGAAACTTGTTTTTCATTTACCAATCTACTGCAGATATGTGATCTCTAGTTTTATTAGTCAGTCAGGTGGGAGAGGCTGAACTATGAGACCTCTTAGGTCCTTTTCAAATTTACATATTTTCCACAGGTAAGTGAACATCTTTGTGTTCCCTCTAGGCAAGTTCTTACTTCTGTCTTTACATTTACGAGGAAGTACGAGATGGGGTGGAAAGGGGGATGTGCTTGTGTGTTCACAAAGAAGTACATAATGTTGGTTCATCTGTACCTTAAGAAGATCCAACAAAGACATCTGAATTTGTGCTTTGAAAAGTTTCCAATGAGACTCCAAGCTCTGGAGGGCAAGGATTATACCTCACCCATCTCGGTATCCCAGTACTGTGCCTGACATGGAGTAAAGGTCTCAATATATTAATATCTATTCACTAAGAAGAAAACTACCTGTGAATTATCTCTAGCAAAATTAAAATCTCAGGCTGGTTCCTCTCCTCTCGAGCGGCTCAGGGTATGAAAAATCAGCTTGATATGGGCTTAACTTAAATAGAAATTAAGAAATCAATAACGGTGGAAAGGAAGAAAGGAAATGGGACTCAATTCCAAAATCAAATAAACTACAGCCAGTTCTGCTATAAGGCTTATTTTGAAAACACAAATTTGTTCCAATCTGACTGATGTGCATATTAGAGGGACAATCTGAGCATAAAACGATTTTCACATTTGCTTATGCATGATTTTGTCTGCAAAAACAATAGGTGAACACGGAAAACTATCCCCAGCTGCATTTAGCCGCACAGAAGTACACAAAACACACACCCACACACACCTCAACCACCTATAGGATGCCTCAGTTCACCTTGTGGGCAATGAGCCACACCTGTCCACACTTGGCATTACAACTTTACGTCCAATTTCAGGTAATCCTCCTTTCTCCACGTCACAGTAACTCACAGAACACAACTCTTCTCACACCTATATCCACAGGCAAACTTCAGGTCTTCTTCAAGGCAAAGTGCCGAATCTGCTGCAGCATTTGCTGCTTGTATCTTTGTACATGTACCACTGACAGTCAATCATGGATAACCAATGAAGTCTCCACAAAAGGCCCAAAAAACAGGGTTTGGGGAGCTTCGGGGGAGCTGAACACATGGAGGCTTGCAGGAAGGTGAACAAGAACTCATCCGCATGCTGGGAGGGTGGCACATCCCAACTCCACGGGGACAGAAGCTCTGCGCTCTGCACCCTCCCAGACCTCACCTTATGTCTCTCTTCACCTGTTTCTTTGAATCCTTTAAAATATTCTTCATAATAAACCAGTAAATGTAAGTAAATGTTTCCCTGAGTTCTATGAGCTGCTCTAGCAAATTAACTGAACCCAAAGAGGGGGTTGAGGGAACCCCAACTTGAAGTTTTGGAGGCCCAGCCTTGTGACTAGTGGGAAGGAGGGTGCAGCCTTGGGGACTGAGCCCTCAACCTGTGGGACCTGATGCTATTTCTGGGGAGATAGTGTTGGATCTGAACTAGAGGATGCCCAGCCGGTGTCCACTGCTTGGTGTGTGTGAAAAAACCCCCGCATTTGGTCACAGAAGTCTTCTGTGTTGGTGGTTGTGGTGTGAGAGTAGGGAACAAGCACAGTTTGAAAGTTTTTTCCAAAACAGCTTACTTTTCCACTAAGGCCTGCTGGAAGCCACGGAGGAGGCATTCTGAAGGGTCTCTAGGTACAGTTTTAGCCAGATGTGGGGAAAGGCAGCGTCTTTGGTACTGCACCTCACCTACTGACTCCATCACAAAAAACCTCTCTCCACACTTAGGTCAGCTCCCTACTGAGAACAAAAAGCTTACACAGGAGGGCAGGTACTTGTGGCCCAAGAGGATTTTCAGCTAGGCAGGGACAGCCAGATGCTGACGATGCTTCATCCTTGCATCAAGTTCTTGGCTTCAAGGGAGAAACAGGATACTTGGTGCTGAGGCAGTGTTTGAGAGACTATGGAGGCAGCAGCTTTCCGGGACTACCCTTTCTCCAACACATGCAGTCTGACTCATAATAAAGATGGAGAAAGTCTGATCTCCTGTTAAGTCTCTTTGCTTGCTTCAGGTAGGGATCACTTCGGCAATGGTGGGGGAAAAAAAAAAAAAAAAGAATAGCTAAACACAACCATGACTTTCCAGGGTCAAAGAAAGCAATAAAACACACACACACATGCACGCAAACCTACAAGGATACTAGCAAATAACCACATATATAATTCCTTGGTCCTCACATAAAAACTGCCAATCAGAAGAACCCCATAGAAGCATGGTAGCCGCACAATGCTGGGGGAAGGGAGAAAAGAGTTGGAAAATTTTTTTTTTCCTTAAGGGGCCCCTTAAAAGGGGTTGGGTTTTCAATTTTAAGGCTTGGGGGAAAAAGGTTCTTCATTGAAGTTTTGATTTTATTTCAAAACTTTTCAGGCTTCAAACTTTTTTAATTTTTATTTTGGGTTGAAAGTTACTGGTTTCAACAAGATTCTGCCATAAGAACATGGAAGTATCTTTAGACCAGAATGCCAAGAATTCATAATTCATAATCCAAAAATATGTAGATATTTTCCTAAAATGGTTTGAAGTATAGAGAGAGCAAAAAATAGGAATGCTGGCAAGATTTCACTGTAGTGAAATTAAGAATACTTAATAACTTCCAATTCACTGCCTAGAGTATCTTCCTCCCTCCCTCCCCAGGAGGGTGGGTTGTGGGGATCCCAAATTTAAATATCTGTTTATCCCTTACATTGATCTTTTCTTCAGAGCACGCTACAAAAATAAACCAAATTTAAATGTAAACACTAATCTATTTTTGGAAATTTGCCAGGTTAATCTATTACACAGCAATCTAAATGGTGTTTCAGCTTAACCTGAGTCACATAAAAGGTAGTCTAAATTATTAAAAGACAAGCAATATTTGTAATAATAAACAGGATAAAATAAGCACCTGAGATTTCTCCCTCAACAATCCTGAGTTTTCAGGTGTTAGGGATTTCTTGGGCTTTCATACGCTTTTATTTGTAAAAATCTGGAGGGAGCTATAGTGAAAATCATATGCAATGGAACAACATTGTTGGTAAAATAGCAAAATCCCACGGCTAAATGTCAAGACACTTTGTAAAAACAGGTCAAACCCCATCTCCCCACTCTGGGCAATTTACTCTAAGAATTTTATTGAAAATAAATTCTATTCGATTTGAGTAATTATAGGAGATAAAGCATGTTAGTGTTCTCCTTTCCCCTGTATTAATGAATTAGAATACACAAAAACCTCAATAAAAATGATATAAAGGCTTATGTGCATCATTCAGATTTTTACTAGTCACTTTCATTTCATAAAACTGCCATTTCCATTAAAGCATTATGTAAAAAATGGGATTTTACTAACCAACATGCATATTTATCACCAATGAATTTAAACATTGCTTATAAGGTACAGAGTCAATTTTACAAATGAAATCTCCTTCAAAAGTTAGAATTTCTTCTTTTAAGAGATGAAAAAAATGATTTGTAACTCTGGAACCTTAGTGTATGCTTTTAATCATTTTTCTTTCTAATCTTCTATTCCTTCAGATAATATCCACACAAAACTTTGAACTAAACATCTAAAACGTGAAATGGAAGCTAAAAAAAATGAAGGAACATGAATTTGGGAGCACTCTTTAAAATTTTTATTTTTCTTCTATTCTTTATGTCCTATATTAGGCATATATTCATCTGTGGAAACTGTTGTGAGTTTGATAGAGATGCTCATGAAATAGCACTAACTGAACATAAATTCCTTGGCAAGCTCTGGAAGGTATCTAGATAAAGCCAAGCACAGTTTAATCTATTTCCTCCACTTTTTCCGAGGTCCTATTGGTTGGATTTTTCTCATTTTGTGTTTTTTTTAAGACAGCAAAAAGACCCAGAATTGACCTGTTTTAGACAGCAAATAATATAACACCAGCAGAAATGTGTACACAATTAAAAGCGAAAGGAGTAACCATTGCTTTTTAGTCTTAGTTAC